AAAGACTAGTAAGTTACTAATAAGAAGTAAAACTAAAAATAAGGCAATATCACAGGGAAGAATACAAGCAACTAGGGCCATATAAACATAACATATATCAAATTAATTTTGCATCTAGAAACTTGGAAAAATAAGACAGTACATAATGATACATAATGCGTTTAGGGAGGTTCAAGTAGCTGATTAGAAGATTTCAAAGCTACTGCATATCCACATGTATATAAGGATCAAATGACTAATTACAACATATTAATAGAGTACAAAATATGGTGTGGTCATTATTTTTAAAAATTGAAGGCAAAGTTCGAAGATCCAAAAAGGGCTATTTCCATCAATATCAAAGTTTCAACGGCATAATAATTTAGAAAAAAGTTTTTATGATACCGCATTCGTTTAGCACTTAAATATATCCTAGCCTCCATAACATTTCATCAGTAAAAATCACAATAGAGTTATTTAGAAACTGTGCAAGTATACAAATTATGAACATGATAAATACAAACTCATGTATCAAGCATCTCTACATCTTGTGTTCAGGGCTATCATTTCTAATAAATTACTCTCAGAATCGCCACAGAAAGTTCTGCTCGATATATTTTCCTCGATAGGAATAATATTTGTATCTAGAGAGTTCAGATCTACAACACATGAGGAAATTCAAATCAGAATTTAATGAACAAGTTGAAATAAAATAAAAGATAGATGGATTTAGTGCACGAATGGAAAAATAGCAATGCAGAAAAAACTAAATAAAAAACAAGTGATAATAGTTCAAAAACAGTGATGGATAAAAAAATCATAGTCTAACAGAAGTATATGGTAGCCAAAAGAGTTGGCATATATGAAAATAAAGCCTAATATACAAATTGAAAAGAGTAAAAGTGCGAATATAAAAACTATTAATTGTATACAATAGCAAATTTTGATGGCTTTTGTAGGCAAATTGTTGCGTTTGAAAGATTGTGAAGCAAGACTCGATTTTTACAATCTCGATCTCGCATCTAAAATAAATAACTAAAAATTGAAATAATCAACATGTCAACTCTTACCGATTATAGATACAATGAGAAACTAGGTTGCGATGAATCTCTTGGGATAACATTGTTAGGGGGAATTTCAGTTAGTATGAAAGTGAATGAAGAAGAGATTCGTTGGTCGATCTCACCAGATGAGGACAGATAAATCTCGTTATGCTACAGCCGTTTGGCTTTTATACGATATTCATGTTGACGTAGTCCACGAGACTTCCTCCCTCGTTTCGGGTGAAATATGATGAGCTTTCGTCCATCAAGTGATGGACATCATCAGAGATGGGTGTCATTCTTGCATGTTAACACGAGGACATAAACACTATCCGGCTCTATCTTACTTCTTATATAGACTCAATTGAGCCAAAAGAAAGTTAAAAATTAAATTTACTACTACTATATCGATATAAAGTGGTTTGGTTAATTATCCTTCATACTGGTCCTGTTACTTTTGCTCGAGTGTAGGCGTATGTGTACGTGTGCGTGTTAGCGTCTATATGCAATACAGTTCATAAACAGAGTTGTCAAAGGTTTCATCACAGGTTCTGATCATCAAGGCCTAATGACCTAAGAGAAAGCCATGACCAAAACTGCGTAAGTCTGTAAACAAGTATGGTTGAGATAATGAGATATGAGCTTGTAAGCTTGAAAATTAAGTTACGAAACCACTTGTCCTAACCTTTCAGTCTAGAGTCATTAACGTTTAACCCCCAAGGAAAGGCAAGACTGGGGTTGGGTAATCTGACAAGTCTCGTTTGGTTGATCAGCTTATTCTAACATATTGGACGAGTGTGAACGGAGTTAAAATCACCGAACAGACAAATTGAGTCGCCTTTATTTTGACGGCAGCTCAAAATTCTCTCTTTCTTTCAATCTATTAATCAAGCATAAGTAATTCCTAGTCAACTTTCTACCAGCGTTCCTCACATTCAATTTATTTTCTAAGCTATTAATTTCAACAGCCTCTCTTATCTTTCTTTTAACCGCAGACGTACCATAATCAGCAAACCTAGTAGTTTAAGACCATTTTATTTCATGTCCAGTTTCTACCACGTGTTCGGCCACTTCTGACCGTTGGATCCAGCTTCCTTTGCAAGCATTTTTGTGTTCACCTAATCTTTGTCTGATAGGTCGGCATGTCTCACCAACATAACATCGATCGCATAAGCAAACAATCGTGTAGCAGCTGGATCTCGATAATGAGTCATCACTCTATCTAAAAGATGGCATAACAGAAGAAAGTGTGAGGGTTTCTTTGAACACTGTTTTTATGACACACTTTCTTACTAATTCGCCTATCTTTTTTGAGAGCAGGCATGGCGGCAAAATTAGGACATGTGAAAATGTCTCCATTTGTCTCTCTTTGATTAAATGGTTTCCGTCTGAAAATGTATTCCTCAGTAGAGAGATATTATTCTCAATAAGGCCCAAAGGATATGTGTTTTCCAGAAATATATTTTTCAGCCGTTCCAACCATCTAGTCAAATGTTTGCTATCAGCTAGTTTCATAATTCTAAGAATCATTGATTTCAAAACCCCAACCTTAGTCTTGTAATTATGATTAGAAAGAAAATAAAGCAGAGCCAACATATGTTGGCTTTCTATAAACATCTCTGCCTAGCTTACCCTCTTCTCTAATGATAATAACAGTGATAAAAGGTAAGGACATATCCTCTTTTATTTCTATCGTGAACCAAATGTTCCTTTTACGCTGGGTGAGTCAAAGTAGAAAACTATCTCAACTGTCCTCCACATGAGCCCAGATAATAAAATAGTCATCTATGTATTGCTTTCGCTGATTAGGTTCAACGTTGAACCCCGACGTTTGTGGGTTGGCGCAGAAGAGACTAGGATATAGTAAGCCATCGACTACGGCGACTAGAGCAAATGGGCTGACAATAGGCCTGTTTTACTATTGACGTTGTCCATGCAGCAAAGGCTTGACCACGAGACCTACTCAGAGGCTTTCGCCTCGAATTAGTCACCCAGACACATAGGGGGGGAAATAACGCCTCGAGTAGCACAGACGGGGTGGCAGGGGTCGAGTGAAATACTTGAACCAGGGAGATAGCAGACGGATCCTACGGGGCAAGAGATAGACTGTGATAAGACCTAGGGAAAGAAGGCTGTGTAACAATATGGCAAACTCTAATGGATATTTTCAGAAAAAGGATTAGGGGGGGTGAGAACGACAGCGTGGAGTGTGGAGGGTTCTCATAAATGCCGCTCAAAAGGGCACATGACACTAGATTTAAATAAGTACTTTAAAAAATGTGACAGTGAAGACGTGATAAGGGGATATAGCAGCCCAGGCCAGGTGACTCACTGACGATGCCGACTCAGATGCTGGCGAAAGGTCTGGGGATAAACCACGTCCACGGTCCGACTTTAGAAATGATCATGCATACAATGGACTCCGGACTACAAATATGACCAAGTTACGAAAACAAGGTCAAACAACATCTAGATTTAGTCATCGTTTCAAGATTTAATGCCTGTGTAAATGACATGATTGTGGGTAATATAAATATACACCTTATTCTAGAACGTGCGTCGGCTCGGCTTCCAACAGACGCTTCTAACCTATCCGATGCAGAAGATGTCGCGGAGGGTAGTACAGTAGAAGAGGTCATCAAATCGGGGCGAAGACGAACCCTCGAGGTAACTGCTTCTCTCATAGCTCGAGATCGTAATGCAGGCTGTCCAGTGCCTGTAGGAGATACCGTCGCCGTGTTTGGTCGAGATCGACTACGGCCTGATAAATAATGTAAACGATAGTGATAAAGGAATAATACAGATATATATATATATATATATATATTGCTTAAAAATATAATAACCGAATAAGACAATTTCAAATATAATAACTATTACATCTTTAGAAATTGTCATCGCCCAAAAATACATTTAAATATTATACATACGAAGGCAGAGTGTGGTCTTTGATATGGAAGCAGTTTCATTTCGATATATAGAGGTGGCCTATAACAGAGGAATTCGGACAAGATGCGCCCAATTAAGTCGCCTTGGTAACACGACCAAGCTGCGAAAACGAGGCCAGGCTATTATTAAATATAACATTCTCAATAGGCGTCCCGACATGCCCATTTTTATTAGAAGGAAACTGGATCAGAAAAGTAATGGCTTAGTTAAAACGAGGATTAATTAAATGTTGTCAAATTACATTATTTAAATGGCTGCAAACTAGAGAAAGATGCCGTCAATGGATTTTCAGATATCAAAGAATATGGCTGATGGCTTGGTCAGGAGAAAATGTATACTAAATGGGCAATGATCAAACAAGAAACTTTAATTTGTATTGAATGATTTCAAAGAAAATTAGACAAAAAATAAAGAAAGAAAGAACTATAAATTATTAAGGATATGAAGACCAAGATAGTGTGGCCTTTTAGTTGGTCGCAGTCTCCTTTCGTTGTATAGTTGTTTGACCTTTTTTTCGTAACTTGGTCACATTGGTAGGAAGACTTAGAGAAACGCACCTAGTCCGGAGTCCATTGTCTGCATGATCATTTCCAAAGTTGAACCGTTAACGTGGTACTTTACCAGACGTTTCGCCGGCATCGTCAGCGTGTCTCGCCATTCGTAGCACCATAGTACAAGGACAAGTCTTGTCTCTGAAGATGCCGGCGAAACGTCTGGGAGAGTACCACGTCCACGGTCCGACTTCGGAAATGATGATGCATACAATCGACTCCGGACTAGGTACGTTTCTCTAAGTCTTCCTACCAATGTGATCAATTTGGGAAAACAAGGTCAAACAACTTCTATAAATCATTGGTTTGTCGATAATA